ACAGGTTAGCTGTGTATGTCTCCATGAGACAGTTTCTGTGGCATCTAGTTGTAAACAGAGCAGCATTTAACATGGAAGACATAGCAGCTCTCGCATCTGAGACTGTCAGCCTCTGAGTTTAAATGGTTAAAACGCGGGAGCAGTGTTGTCATTCTGCCAAACACTGTAGGGCTGCACCTAGTTGTGAATTTAACAGGAAAATATATTACTCAGTTTCTTATGAATTGCTCCAACTTTTTAAAGAAATTCTACTGATAAAATATGGTAAGACAACAAGTTTTGTTTTTCTTTAGTATTCACTGTTTGCCTGGAAATCAGGTGTTGGTTGCATTTGCTCTATGATAACGAAGTTGCATGTGCATATATACAAAATGTAATGTTTGATTCTGGGTATTCAGATGTAATGAAACTGAGAGAGTTTCTGTTTCTTCAGAGAAGGTGAGAGGACAGAGAATTACAGAATAAACTTATAAGCACTCCACCTATATTTTGGAATTGATGAAAGGCCCAGATATGCAGATTAATAATACAACTGTAAGGATTTTAACACTAGAATAAAATGTATTCTTATTATAAAATAAATTTTTATATCAACATTAGTCTCTGCATATGAAATTGATTAGTCATTGTGAAAACTCAAATCTATTTGTTAGATATGTCAGATATGATGCAATTTATTTCTTGGAAAACCAAAGAACCCAAATCCCTCAGTGTTAGACTGGTTTGCATTGGGCTAGGGCAGTCATTTTAAAAGAATTTTGTTTCTGTTTTAAACTCTAAAATATGTAGTCTCTATATATTATGTCATTTAAATTTTTATGATTACAACTTCCCTTTTTACTGTTGTACCCTTTATATATTCATGAACAGTTCTACATGTAGAAGTGAGAACAAACATTAAAATATACAGGCCGGCGAGCAGGCCACAGTGCTATGTGGGCAGTATTGGAAATATGTTCAATTTGTTAAATATAGCTAATATCCACTCTTGTGGCATTGGTTTAAATATTTGTAATATCCCATTGAAAATAATGTATTTCTGTTGGTGGGCAGGCACATTGTTCTCAGTCTTACTCATGTCAAGCAGTCCTCACATCTTTTCTGTCTAGTGTCTGTGGTTCACTTAGTTTTATAGCTCAAGTATCTCAATATATGGACAAAAGATGAAATTTAGAATTTCCGTGTTAGCAGATTAGAAGTAGAGAACTTCTTTTATCAGAAGAAAGTTTTCCAAAACCCAGGGAAACAAAGTCCTCACAATCCAGCATTGTGAACTGAAGAAATGCTGACTTCTTGCTCTGTGATGGATAGTTAGACCTGGAGACTGTGATGGACAGTTAGACCTGGAGACTCTTTGATAGACAGTTAGACCTGGAGACTCTTTGATGGACAGTTAGACCTGGAGACTGTGATGGACAGTTAGACCTGGAGACTGTGATGGACAGTTAGACCTGGAGACTCTGTGATGGACAGTTAGACCTGGAGACTCTGTGATGGACAGTTAGACCTGGAGACTCTGTGATGGACAGTTAGACCTGGAGACTGTGATGGACGTAGACCTGGAGACTCTGTGATGGACAGTTAGACCTGGAGACTCTGTGATGGACAGTTAGACCTGGAGACTCTGTGATGGACAGTTAGACCTGGAGACTGTGATGGACGTAGACCTGGAGACTCTGTGATGGACAGTTAGACCTGGAGACTCTGTGATGGACAGTTAGACCTGGAGACTGTGATGGACAGTTAGACCTGGAGACTCTGTGATGGACAGTTAGACCTGGAGACTCTGTGATGGACAGTTAGACCTGGAGACTCTGTGATGGACAGTTAGACCTGGAGACTGTGATGGACGTAGACCTGGAGACTCTGTGATGGACAGTTAGACCTGGAGACTCTGTGATGGACAGTTAGACCTGGAGACTGTGATGGACAGTTAGACCTGGAGACTCTGTGATGAACAGTTAGACCTGGAGACTGTGATGGACAGTTAGACCTGGAGACTCTGTGATGGACAGTTAGACCTGGAGACTCTGTGATGGACAGTTAGACCTGGAGACTCTGTGATGGACAGTTAGACCTGGAGACTGTGATGGACGTAGACCTGGAGACTCTGTGATGGACAGTTAGACCTGGAGACTCTGTGATGGACAGTTAGACCTGGAGACTCTGTGATGGACAGTTAGACCTTGAGACTGTGATGGACAGTTAGACCTGGAGACTCTGTGATGGACGTAGACCTGGAGACTCTGTGATGGACAGTTAGACCTGGAGACTCTGTGATGGAGAATATTCTACAGAATCATTTTTATTTCTATTCAATGAAATTAGCACCAACATGCCTCCAAGGAAAGATTATAAAACCCAAGAAGTCCTTGAGAAAAAAAATCTAACTCTTGAATACTTAGCTGGGGGAAATGCCATGTGCTAGTATTTGCTAGTTGTACCTGAGTTATATTTATTTAACAAATTAATTATGAATGGTGTGCCATGCTTATATTAGTATGGTAAGGCTAGTGTAACAAAATACCACAGACTGTGTGGCTTAGAAAAAATTTGTCCATTCTAATTTTGATGACTGTAAGTCCAAGGTTATGGTGCCAGTAGATCTGACTGTTCCTTGTTTCTCTGGCTTATAGACACCTACCATCCCACTGTGTCCTCAGTGGTCTTTCCTCTGTGTAGAAGAGTCCTGGACCTTCTTTCTATGCCCACGTGTCCTCCCTTTTGAGGGCATCAGTCATATTGGAGGAGTACCCACTTCAGTGTCACAGCTTCAAAAGCTCCATCTCCAAATATAGTCAGGTTCTGTGGTACTCACGTGCTGAGGTGTTGGGGGTTAGGACCTTGACACATGATGTTGATGCCATGTTCACCCCGTAACACTGTTAGCAAAGATTCTGAGCACAAATGCTTCTTGATGCTGATACATTTGATAAGGCAATTTGGAACTTTAAAATTGCTCTGTGTAAAAGAAAGAAACAAAAGGCAGAGTTTAGTATTGATATAAGTTACACATGTGTGAACTTGGAGTCCAGTTTTCTAACATTATAAAAGTGATAAGCAATTTCTATATTATTTTTTATTCTACAGGTAATTTAAATATATCACCAAATGCACATATAGTTTTAAAAATAGATGATTTTAGTTTTATCACATTAATAACATTTGTAAATTATAGTTGGTTAAAAAAAAACGTTTCTATCTTTTCATAGGAAGCAGATAGGCCAGATTTTATTTGATTCAAAGTAGTCAGTTCAGAATAGTAATTTCTGCATACCCATGTCTCAAATCATTCTACCATGTAAACCATGTACTAAAGACCCAGAGACTTATGGGAAATGAAGGCACAGCACCCCAAACCATTGTCAGTAACTCTCAAAAGGATAAAACCTAACAAAAACAGCAGTGTAGTTTCAGACCTGCCAGATGGCCGGGAAGCACAAGTACGTGGTTAACCTTGGAGCTTGGGTTGGGGTGTGGACTCGGGCTTTTTGTGTGCGTGAGTACGGGAAGGATGTCAGGATGCAGGCACTGTGATGTTGGAAGAAGAGCAGCTCTGACTTGTGCATGGGCACGGCTCACGTGATAAGCTCCCGGAGATGTTTGGGGAGTGAATGTATTTTGAGTGTTCCTCATGGCTTGAATTAGTAGGGTGGATTTTCTTTGTTCATCTGGAGTTTCTCGCACATGAGATGAACAAGAAACACACAGTTCTTGTAATGCTCAAGTTGTTGCTTCATGTGTGAAGTACATTGCTTCTCATTTTTATCTTTTGTAAGTATTCAGAATTTGACAGCCTAGTATTTGAGTGCTACATAACAGTCCAAGTGGCTTGGTAAGTTTTAAATTTTCTAGGCTAATGAATAAGTGTTGAAGGTATAGAACAAGATGTTTTCTGTGAGTCTAATGCTTTATCCACAGAAAGACATCAGTCCTTCATTTTAAGCAAACACTGTTCCTTCAGTGGCCACCTAATATTTTATTTTCTGTTACTTATTTATTTATTCTTCAGAAATTGGGCTTCATGCTATCCAGCTTGACCTTGGCTACCTTGTCCTCCCTCCTTTATCTCCCAAATCTCTGACCCACCATACCTGGCCCTACCTTTTGGGATCGCTACAACACCATTAATCCCTACCCTAAATCAGGAAAAGACCATCAGCACCCAGTGGTTGGTTGTATTGGGCACCCTTCCACTCCACCTGTTGCATCTAAGAACTGGCTGTTTTACTCCAAGTTTAACGGCTTGTTAAGCTCCTGGAGAATCCTAAGTCTTTGACTCCCTCTGGTTTGTTCAGTAACCATGATGCTAAATGAAGTGGTTTTCTTTTTGTCATTAGAACCCAGTTCACTTTAAGAATCCTCGGTTCCACTCCCTGGAAATGGCCAAATGACCTTTGTCTTAACACAGTTCCCGTTCCCACCATGTTCCTTTTCCATCTCTGCAGTAACCTATGGTTCCTGGGTGTGTTGAGCACATCATTTTGTTTATCGTGTGTGTCCCAGGGCTGACTACATGGAAGAGTGAATGGAGTACGCCTGGGGAGGCTGTACCTGTGTCCTGGTGTACAGGTTTTCCCCTCATTGCAGCTAAATTAGATAATTATTAGGTATTTGGGTCACTTGATTTTAATATTATAAATCATGCCTGTACATTACAAAATTTTTACAGTGTGATAACAAATGTTACTTTGTGGATCAAACATCCCATACCTTCTCTGATTTTTGTTTTCTGCCATAAGCAGTCTTTAAAAATAAAAGTAACTAGCAACTCTGGTATTGAGAGAGATTGTTATTTCAAGGTACAATACAGTAGTGAAATCCTTACAACTTTGTTGTAAGTTCTAAAGTTATTTTTGAAAATTTCTAATATTTGTGTTGCCGACATGGAACAAACGGAGCAGGTGGTTTCTTTAAGGCAGTAAGGGAATACTTATGCGTTGCATGTTGGTTATGGTCTCAAAAGTAAGCAGTTCTTAAGACTTCCTTTCTCTTTGTAGGACCTCTTTGTTGTTCGGCATGAGCTGGCTATCATGAGACTAGCTGCCTTTATGGGCATTACCATGTTAGTTGGAATAACTGGACTCTTCTACACACAGCTGATTGGCATCATCACAGTAAGTATATCTTCAGTGTAAACTGACATGTACAAAGAGATGTGTAACTGTGGACCTGATTCTAAAAACTTATGTGGCATTTATAAGTTAAAGGAGAATATTGCCTACAGCTGTTAAGTGTGTGTAAAGTATACATAAATTTTGCATCCCTCTTAAAAATGAGCAGAGTATTTTTATATGACAGCAGACCTTATGCGTACAGTCTTACTGATGACATATACTTCTAGTGTTAGCATCTAGCATGAAGTCATTTTTCTAATCTTATTTCCTTTTATAACACACCAATCATTTTTCCTATGTTACAGATAACACTACTTTTTCTTTTAAAAATTCTTTAAGAATTCCCAAAGATAGAACTGCTAAGACAAACATTTTATTAGTAATTAAACCATTTCTTGGATGTCCTAATTGATTTATTGATGTTCAGACTAACTTACTATGTCATCACTATTGAGTCTGTCTGAAAGACTGTCAGCTCCTCCTCTTATATTTGTCATAGAACAATGTCTTGAGGGATGGCAAGTCTACTTTGACATTTCTCTACATTGGATGCAGTCATTTTTTATACCACTTAATTGGAACAATTAGAGCAAACACTTGGCAGTGTCAGGTACTGTTCTTTTCACGGGTGCATTTATTGCAGTGTTTCTTAGGCCAGTTTGAGGATGTGGTAGAGAGGCTATGAGAGATGAGACTTGCTGTAGTGTCAGTCATTTTTTAGAGCAATCATACTCAAATCCTTTTATCACAACAGAAGAGATTTTAAAAACTGAGAAAAATCGTAAGGATTGAAAAAAGAATAGTCCATTGGAGAAAATGTATGTCAACTAGTCTTTCTTAAATATTATGGAAAGGAATATAATTTGACTTAAATTGTTGGAAGGTGAATTGTCAATGCCTTTCATAATTTAAAATGTACATTCCCTTTGACCAACCTTGTCAAAATAACCTTGTAGATGTTATATATTTGAGTGTATGTATGCATGCTCAAAGGGGCTGCAGCATTGTATTCTGTTTACCATCGATATTGCATATGTTCATTTAAGTGCCTACCAACATATAATGAATCAACAAGAAAACCTCAACACCTACCACTAAACAACGTATTCAAGAATTGTGGTACTGGCCTGGGGATGGATGGATGGATGGACTAGAATTGAGAACTATACAGCCCCTTGCTGTCTATAGAGAATTGGTTTCAGGATGCCCTATGGATACTAAACTTCACAGTAACTGTTAAAATCCCTTATTGGAATAGCATAGTATTTGCACATACATCTTTTATATTTTTTAAATCATTTCTAGATCCTTTATAATACCTAATGCAATATCAATGCTATGTAAATTGTTGCCATACTGTACAAGTTGTTTAGGGAGTTAAAAATGTAGGCTGTGCTTAGGCTTCATCTCTGGATACTTTCTGGACACCTTTTCATCATATCTGCATGCACAGATCTCTACACTGTGAGCTAGTGTGAATTTAGAGATAGCATTAGAGCAATGGAGATGTCACAGGGATTGATTCATCTCCCTACCCTTGTGCCCCCTCCCTCCCCCCCGTCCAAAAGGATATAATTTCCTTAGGGAGAGCTGGGAGTTTCATAGCTTGAATATGGGTCTATTTAATAATAAATGGCAAAACAAATGCTGGCTCCTATACTTTTAGCTAAGATTTCATAGAAGCAGGGTTCCAATTTTAATAATTATTTTCCCATTGTTTTCTTTGACCTGGGATGAGTACTCCTCCCCCCATAATTTCATTTCCAAAATTAAAGGACTGTAACACAGTCAGGCATTTTAGTAAACTGACGAATCTGAAGCAGAATTTTAAGGGTTTACTTTATTTTCACATTTGATTTAAATTAGGCTTTAAATGTATGTGTTGTGCACTGTAACTGAATTGAAAGTCATGTTTACAAAAGCAGTTGGCTTTGATGCAGTTTCCTTTATCTAGGAAACAAGTTAGCTTAGCAGCCCTCACTAAGACTTAGCTCTTTGCTCTTGTATCTGAATGAAGTAGACAGTGATGCTCTTATTAATGTAATTGACATCAGAATTAGGCTCAATAGTCCCAGGCAGCAAGAGGGAAGTCCATGCTGGTGAGCCCCAGTGTTGACAGTTTGGGTTAGTCGGACTGGTCCTGTTACCATTGACAAGAAGCCTAACAGCTGGCCAGTATCCCTGGGGAGGTTCTGACAGGGACCTGCTGCCTGCTGTGACACTCCTCTGACAGTTTGTCTAAATTATGTGTGCAAGCATTTCCGTTTCCTGGGCACAGGAGTTTGTGCACTTGTGTGAGCTCCTGATGTCCTCTTTGGAGCGCAGTGCATTTGTTGCTCAGTGCGGTGAAGCTGGGTATGGTGAGCCGCAGCTTTAATAAAGCTAAGTGATTGTTGCCTTGGTCTCACAGATGTTCTTGGATTCTAGTTGAATACAGAAGATAATTTTTAAAATCTTTACAGAGAAAATATTTCTCCTTATACCTCCAACCCTTGTTTGATTTGCAGTCAATATTTGCCTGATAATAGAAAGAATTATTAGTACATGGTGACTATGGTGGTTTGCAGTAGAATGGTTCCTATAGACTCATATATTTGAATAATTAGTCATCAGGGAGTGGAACTCTTTGACAGGATTGGGAGGATTGGGAGATGTGGCCATGTTAGAGGAAGTGTGTCACTTTGAGCTTTCAGAAGCTTGTGTCAAGCTCAGTCAGTCTGTTTTTGTCTCTGTCTCTCTGTGGATCAGCATATAGAACTCTCAGATACTTCTCCAGCACCATGAAGGTTTGTGTGCTGCCTTGCTCCCCACCATGTTCTTCTGCAAATGTAAGCAAGCTCCAATTAAATGATTCATTTTTTAAGAGTTGCCGTGGTCCTGGTTACAGCAGTAGACCTGTAATTAAGATGGTGACTTAATTTTCACTGGAGTTAATCATATGCAATGAAAATTACCTCATGTTCAAAATGTTAAATCAGATTAAAGGAGGTTAGCTATTAAGTAAGATTTTATTGATCAGTTAATAGATTTTCTTGCTTTTTAATATGTATTCAGAAATATAGACTTGGAATTGTCGATCTTTATAATTGAGTTTTGCCAAATATCAGTCAATCAGTGAATTCATGTAGTCTGTGTGCAAATCATGCTTAGCATACTTAGCTGCAGCCAGCACTGAACATCTTTCTTTAATGGGAGATCTCTGGCATTTTTGCTTTCCTTTCTAAGGGGTGTGTGTGTGTGTGTGTGTATTTCTAATACAGCCTTTCTGACTGTAAAATTATGTGACACATCTCCTTAATGCTCTCTTAAAACCCTAAAAATATTGCCCAAGTTTATTATGTTTCTTAGATGCTTTTCATGTTCTATGTTAACATTGGATATATTTCTTTGTATGTGGATGGTAAGAATTTTATAGAGACTAGTTTCTCTTTTTTTGTAGTAATCACAATTATGTGTAGAGGTGGATAACTTGTGTAAATGTGTTTCTGAGCAGAAGTGTTTCTATACCTCACTTCCTCTTTACTCGGTGTGATTTGTTCAGGGACTGCATCAGACAGTCAAGTGAATGTAAAAGCTGAAAACAATTTGTGTTCTGATAGTGCTTATAGGAGATACTTAGTGCATAGACTTCTTAGAGGGCCGTCACTCAATGTAGAGACAGTTTATGTGCTGTGTTGCTAAACATACTGTGCTATTGTTAGTAGGCATTTTTCTGAGAAGTTGATTTCATCAGCTCATGATCTAAATTCACATGCATAGTAAGGTTAGAAGACGCGTAGATTTTCTATGTATTGACTTTTGATCTTTGCCAAATGAAGCTAAGTGTCTCTCACACATTCTGTTGGTTCATTGGTGATCTCCCAAGCCCTAATCCCAAGGCACATTCAGTTCCCTAACTCTATGTCTACTATTGATAACCAGAAACCTCATCGGAAGTCTAATTTTGATGTTAAAATATGAAAGCATAGGTTTGGGTCTCACTTGGAAGCATAGATTTTCAGTTCTTTCAGCTGTTTTGGTGACTGTGGAGTCACCAATAAAACACCTTTTGCACAGTCACCCTCTGTGACCTATGTGTGTCTGTGTGGTCACAGTCACCCTCTGGGACCTATGTGTGCCTATGTGGTTTCTTTGTGTGTGTGTGGACATCTTTGCTCATTTATTAAAGACCTTGCCATGTAGCTGGTTACTCTATATAAATAGATGAGTAAATGAACAATGGTTTATATACTTTCAAGTTTTTGCTTTACGAATGGATTTTAAACCCCTTTTGGTTGTAGGATTACATATATATCCTCAGTCATTTTATCTTTCATTATAAAGTCCTATACACATAATTTGAATAACTGATATATTGAAATACTATTTTTAAGCATGAGGAAATGCTTAATAAAAAATAAAAATGAGGATTCTTCAGTCATTGAAGATTTACTAGGAGTTTTAATACGTATTGATCCATTTAAACCTCACAAAAACTTAGGAGGTAAGCATTCCTACTTGGTAGTTGAGATATAGAGCTTTAATTTCTTACCAATTTTATATAGCCAGATGATGGTTTGATGGAGAAAAGCAGAGAAGTCATTTTGGAAAGAGGTTTCCAGTAGCTATCAATGTAGAACCTGCCTCTGCACTATTGTCCTGTTGTTGATGAAATGTTTATGTCAACTTCACATTCCAAATAAAAGACACAGCTGGTCCTCTGTTAGCGATGGATGCTGAGGAACCGCCCATTTCTAGAGTAAACCGGTGAGTCCTGGGGGCAGGGATGGTTAGGAGGGTTTCCCTGCTTTCACCTTGAAAAAAATTAAAACTAAAGAATTACGCTATTTCTGATTTGCCGAGTTAGTTCAGTCCTGCAGACATATATCAAAAGCTTTGTCCTGCTAGTGCTTTTGATTCTAAAGTTAAATGGAGGTCAGAGGGTGTACTGCTCTTGCAGTGATCCCAAATTTGGTCAGAGTACCTCCATGGGATGGCTTGTAACCACCTATAACTCTAGCCCTGGGGATCTGACACCCTCTTCTGGCCTCCATGAGCACCTCCATTCACGTGCATACCTCCCCTTTGCCACCGTACACACACAACATATAACTAAAAATAAAATAAAAAATTGAATGTACTGCTGTTTCTGTACTAGTTAGCAATCAAATGAAGCTCATAATGTTAGAACTCAGAGACAGAGCAGGTATATGATCATGAACTACAAAAACTTCCCTGAAAAGTGTTTCCAAGGCTATATTAAGTCAGCATCGAGTTGTAAATTAGGTAGCTGTGTGCAGCATAGAGGCCTAATAGCCAAGGAAACCTACGAGAACAGAGTTGAGGTGCCTGTGGAAGCTATGGAGCTGTCTTCAGGGGTGTGTCTCTGATGGCGCCTTTACTCTCATCAGGTCTTAACGTCTGGAATGGTAAGAAAGTCCTTTTGGAAACTGTTCCAGAGTAAAAAGGCCCAAAGATAAGGACTCTTCTACCTCCGAAGACAGTTAATGGAACCAGATGGACTGTTTGTCCTTTATGTGTTGTTCAGTGTGTCTAAGGCCTCGCTCCCACAGCACAGCATATGTGTCCCAGTGTGGTACTTGGTGAGAGTGGACTCACAGGAGAGCGGTTATCAGCCTTCTGTGCTCAGGGCCTGGCTTCTCAGCCCTGCTAGCCTGTTAACCAAGAAAGCTATGCTGATAAGTTCTTGCTTTTCATACTACACTCCATTTCAGTTTTCCAGTGAATCTATCACTCTCTTCTGCTAAGAAATCTTTTTCTCTCTGTTCCAGACACAATCCAGGTGCAGCCAAACATAATTTTACACAGAATCTGAAAGATCCCTTCTTACACCAAAATTAGCCATAAAGAGAAGACAGCAGGCATACATGCAGGCAGAACACTGCATACATAATAAATAAATAACTCTTGTTTTTTAAAAAAAAATTGAGAAAACAAAGTTTTGACAGAGAGAGTAGGGATGATAATACTTGTCTCTGAAAATCTTGCTGGGTTTACTTGATTTTTTAAAAAATGAACTCCAGTTTTTAAAACAGTGAGGCATCCTCTTGTATTGCTCAGTTGTACAAGCTGATTGGAGGATTAGATGTTTTGATCATGAGATCATTCTGGGTATAAACATTCCTCAGAACTAATTGTAGCAATGCCAAGTAAATATGTGATTTTCACGATCTTGAAAGAATGGTTTGTTTGGTAGCTATCTGAGGCTGTATGTTGTATTATGTTCCTTTTGTAGCGTTTGTCGTGTTCGTCTTCTCCCCTAGTGCCACTGGAAGGGTTGAATATTTTCAGTATGCTTAAAAAAAATCCTCACATTTGTCTACATTGTAAAACAAACAAACAAACAAAAACCCAAAAAAACAAAGTAGGCTGAGTTTAGCAGTTGTGGGTAGGATGGTTTTCCTTCTCCTGCAGACGGGGTCTGTCCTGAGTAGTCGGGCCTGCTTGTGAATGGGAATGTCTGACTCTGACCCCTGCTTGCTGCTTCCAGAGTGAGAGCTCGCTGTGCTCTGCTGTGCAGGTAGAGACTGTGCTGTGTCTGTGTTGATAGTATTCTGGATGCAGAGGTAGAGAGGGGAGCATTTGTCGTTCAAGAGAAAACAGTGGCTTAGTTTGGGCAGCCTCCCAGCGCCTATTTATAGCTCAGTAAACAATTCATCCTGCGAAAGACATTTAAGGAGGAGTGTTGTCTGTCTCCTGAAGCTATCCGAATACTTAAAAGGTTTCTCTATATGAAAACTAAATTTGGATTCTTTAAAGTTGTTTCTTTTCAGAACCACAAATAAATTTACTCAGTGTAGATTCTGTACAGTAAAAGTTGTCCCCAGGATTAGTGGTGACAGTAGATGGGCCCCGCCTTGCCTGTCCTCACGTAGCTTTCAGGTGTAAAGGTGTCAGCGGCTGCATTTCAGGGTTCTCAGCAGTTCTCAACACATGGGTTGTGAGCCCCTTCACGGGAGTCGAATACCCAATATCCTGCGTATCAGATATTTACAGTATGATTCTGACAGTAGCAAAATTACAGTTATGAAGTAGCAACAAAAATTATTTTGTGGTTGGGGTCAGCACATGAGGAATTGTAGTTAGGGTTGAGAACCACTGCTCTAGACATAGCGTGCAATGACTTTGTCCTCCTTCCCTCAGCACTTTGGTGTGGGTTCCTTCGCTGTTCGTTTACATGTTCACACCCTGAGACAGTACTAAAATGACATATCCACTCCTGCATAGATGTGAGCCTGAAGCCCAGCTTTCCTCTAAATTCTTAAGAAATGTTCTCATATATTTGTAGGCTGTGTTTTCATTTAGAATAAGTAAAATATTGTTTAAAGAGGAAGTTATGCAGTACAATAAAAAGAAGCTTATTTTCAGCAGAATTGTCAAATGCTATCAACTTCAAGGCATAATTAAAAAAAAACTATGTATATAGAAGATGTAGCAAGTCTGCCACTTTTTTTTAACACATCTTTAGAATACTCTGTAAATAAAACTATTGTTTGTTCCTAGTCTTCTAAAACCAGATTTACTTCCCCTTTTTGAGGCTAGCTGCTTGTTCAGCATATCTGACAGTCATCATGAATGTTCATCTAGCATGGCTAACTGTAAAGGGCTGTGGATTAGCACCACTAAAGGAACTTCTGTATTTCCATGAATAGTTCTGATTAATATTGTTATTTTCCAATGTCTGTCATGTGTGAGTTAGTAAGGTCAAGTCTGGGGAAAAGGCAAAAATTTATCTAATATTTTTGCACTATTGCTTTAAAATGTGCTCACACTCTAAATTTTTACCTAAATGTAAGATTGTGCACTCGTATATTGGGTGTTTGGATCTCATAACAGTTCGGCAGTATAGTTGGTAGGTCCTCTGTTACTACAGTTTGCGTCGGCATTCCCAGACACCGTCTTCTGCTGAAGTGCTTTCCTTCTAGGCCTGCATTACACTCTTGTTAAAACACCCTGAAGAGATTATATTGTTGTAAAGATTTGGTTTGCTTGTTGGGGAAAAAAGAAATGTTTTATTTTCTAACTTATATTTTTATATTAAAAGATGTTGTAACATGATCAATTTATGGATTGGCTTATTGAATTTTGTTATTTATAGAAATTAATAAAACCCAGAGTCACTACTACTCTCTGCATCTTGGTAGTTCTGTATTCCTTGATGGGTTTCATGTGTTATTTGATATTCATTTATTTTTAATACATATTTGTAGACAGTTGATTTGAATGGAAATAATTAGGCTTTTACAGAATTACCAAGCAATCAGGTGTCCTCAGAGGTTACAACTGAATGAAATAGTTCTCCTAGAGGGTTTTGATACTTTCGTAGTTCAGTAGTTTTTTTCACATGATGTTGTTGATTTTATTTCCCTAAGGGGACTCCAGGTTGTAAAGATATACAGACTGGTTAAATCTTTAGAATATGTTTTGAATAGACATAAATATTCTGTAAGACAGAAGTATTGTTATATATGAATATAATTTTTCTATTTTTAATAGGATACAACATCTATTGAAAAGATGTCAAACTGTTGTGAAGAAATGTAAGTATAAAGTCTATAATGATTTTATTTAAAAATAAAAACAACTGATCCCCTTTGAGAATTGTGTGCATATGTTAATAGTAATGATGGCTTTTTTTTTTTTTTTTTTTTTGTGCCCCATCTGAGACCCAAGCTAGACAGGCATATCCCAGTCTTACAATAGGGGTCTTTCAGCCATCAGAGTTTTTAAACAAAATAAGTACTGATAACTCCAGTTTTCTGACTCACAGAAGTAAGTTAAATTATTTGTCGTAAAAGTACATCAAAAGAGATTTGCTACTGTGTTGTTGACACACATTCTGTTACCCCGAGCTCCTCCTCTGCTTCCAAAGTTACCGTGGGTTGATTGACGATGCAGATACAATATCTGCTCTGCAGAGCTGAAGCTCAGCTGCAGGCCACATGGAAAGAAAAGCTGTGTTTGTGATGCTGGGACACAATGCATCCGAGTCCAGTAATGGATCCCCAGCCAACCTGCATTGTTTTAGCTGACTGAAGTGCACCATGGGAGTGCTGTCTTTCACTAATAATGCTGTCTTCTGTAGATCACGGCCCCGAAAGCCATGGCAGCAGACCTTCTCAGAAGTTTTTGGCACTCGTTGGAAGATCCTGTGGTTCATTCCTTTCAGGCAGAGGCAACCACTGCGAGTTCCCTACCACTTTGCCAATCACGTCTAAACAGATGGATGGTGGGCACAGATGGGTCCTCCATGCTGGAAATGCGTTACAGGTTTTATGAGAATAGAACTATGACAGTCTTCAAGTCAATTAAAATCCACCCACCAATCTTAGGCATCATAATGTGCCCCAGGCTTTATTTTAATAGTGATCTTGATCCTGTTGTGGGGCTAATACAAGATCTATATTTAAGTTTTAAAAGCATGTTTACTTTCAAATTAGCCTTTCATGGGGATTTCTTTAAATGCTTTTGTTACTAAACTCAAAAGGCAGTGATTGGGATGAAATAATTGTACATAAATTTCCTTCACTACTCACAGTATTTTAAATTTTAATTTATAAGAAATTTGAGGTGTTTAATGTTTACCTTTAAATAGTACTAACCAAATTTGAATTTAATTCTTCAGGTTTACAAAACTTGATATACTTTCTTAGATGTAAATTTTCTTTTTTGAATATAAGTTAAAATGCTTTTCACTACTTCCTTTTCTATGTGCTGCAGGGTTTTTAATATGCAGTGTAGGGTGAGCAACAAAGGGCAGTTATTGCCTGGGAGCAGCTCTCTGATGCTTCCTTCTTCTTTCCTGCTCATCCAAAGCGAGATACGACACACGAGGTTAATGCACCAACTACTACCTTATTATAAAGGAGAAATTAATTTTCCCTTCTGCTGCAGTTATTGATTGCTGTTAGAATGTTTGCTCCCAGGAGAAATTTGTGACCAGTCAGGCATATATTCCTGTTTTACCCTAAGATTCTAGTGACTGAAAAGGATAGGAAGTTTGCAATAATTCCAGTTACTTCTTCAAGTGCAGTTATATCAGAATGCAGATGTTTTAAAATGCGAGTATAACTGGATGGTATGTAATACACAGTATATAAAGGAATACTGTGTTTTAAAGTATGTATATTTTTACTTATCTGCCAGTAGATCTTACTGTGCATTTTGAAAGTTTATATATTATATGATAAATACTGGTCAACTCATATCAAAGTTTAAAAGTAGATCATTAACTTTATATACCAGTAATCACCCAGGTTGAAATTGAATTTTCATTGCCTAGTTATAATTTGCATCACTCTAGAGACATTTTATTAATTGCTGATGTCAGGAAATTATCTTCAAATAGAATGATCTGTGGTAGTGATGGTCCTTGACAAACATGGAATCTTTTTGTATGCGAAGAAGTTTTGTATGATTTCAGTTTTTTATTTAGAATACAGCATATCCACATGTATGAAAAGTGTGTGTGCTAGTGACCTTTCCCCTGAAAATGATATTGAACAAGTCTACCATTCTTGAACCATATACACACTTTACTTTCAGGTAGTTGTGAAGTAAGGAATCATAGCTGGGAAATACTGAAACAGAGATTATTATTGTTAGCCAGTCAGCTATACTGTGACTAGTTCTTTCAGATACTGTAAATGTCTTGTAAAATTTCTGAAGGAATAGAATAATCTCTTTTCGGAAATATTAATACCATATTTTCATGTTCTAATTATGTTTATTATTTAAAAACTTAGAAGTAACAGATGAAAATATTTATTGGTGCTAAGACATTTAGTAAGTTTAATATAAGAAATATTTATAAAGGTTAGGAAACATAAAATTTGTTTATTTTGGGCAAAGGGGTTGGATTTTGTGCAAGCTGACTGACTAAATTGGCTGATGATAGATTCTAAAAGGAAGTGGTGTATATATAATGTAGGGAGATACAAGTTGATGACTTCAGCTATATGTATTCTGTTCACATAAGACCTGGAGCATTCATAGCAGAGCCAGTGAAGGCCCAGTATGGAGCTTTGTAGACTTGCTTATACTTTTGGAGTAGCAATAGCTCTGACATGAGATAATGGGGGTGTTCTCTTTCCCGTGTTGGGAATGTGTGGGTCTGGTTTTCTTAGGTTTAGGCACAATCTCTTCCCTTTGTCTGTACTCTCCCAGGTCCTGATATCCCTCTGCGGTTTCTTTCAGTTATTGGACTACAAACCAATGCACTAGTTTGAGCTACAGAAATGCTATTATTAATGTATTTACATAATCTATATTGCAGTATATCTATATATACTTATGCAGTATTGTCAAATGTTTATGTCTGCCCCCGCTAGGGGTTTGTAATCATTACTGGATTCCTAGAGAAAAGCCTGTTGGCCCCTTCCTAGGGATTAAGCTCCTGTGTTCTTCCTGCGCCCTCTTTTGGCTAATTGATGTAATTATTCTGGCTCTAGAGGCTTTTACTGTCCTATTAGTACCTTCAATCTGTGAACATACGAGAGGTACACACGTATGGGAATATCTGTATAAAAGTGTAAAGTTTTATGAAAATTGAAAATGAACGTGTTGGTGATGTTTCTCCTAGGTGAATTGCTTGGCTTCATGTATGTATATTGTACACTTTACTGTCAATCACAAATTTAGATTAGGACAAACTATTTCATACTTTACTTTAAGCCTTATTTTGGTAACTTGTTATCATTATGAAAACTTACTTTAAAATTACTATTTTATTACAGAACAAAACATTTATTACAATTACGATGGCAACCATATCATCCAGTGTGTTTTGCTGGATATCTAAAGAATACATTTAATTTTTTTCAATTCAGTTTTAGAATAGTCCCACACATATACAGACTCAATTGCCTTAACATAATCAATAATTGATTATAACAATACTATTTTTTCTTTGCTTTTTAAAAAGCCTTCTCAGTCAGAGTTAAGTCTTTAGGTACATGTGTCACTCTGAATAACCGTGGGAATAACTCCATATGTGGAGTGGTGGAAAGCAGCTGAGCAGGAGATTTCCTATTAGTCTGCATATTGCATTGAAGGCTTTATTTGTAAGTTTTAGCCAAATGTGTGTCCAGTGACATTTTTACATTAGCAGAATCATTTCTTGGGCCTCCAGAGTTAGAGTGTTATTACTGGCTACAGTTACACTTGGTGAACAATTATAGGGTTGGGCCTGCAAGGTGGCTCAGTACATAAAGGGATTTGTTGTACAAAACTGAACCCATTTTAAGGTGAAAGTGAAGAAAAAAACAAAAACCAAACCAAACCTTATTCCACAGAGTGGTCCTCTGACCTCCACAAACCTTATTCCACAGAGTGGTCCTCTGACCTCCACGACATGCCTCCTCCCCATCATCTCTCTCTGTCTCACTCTCGTGCGCGCACACACATACAAGTTTTAAAAATCTAATTGGGTGAACTTAATGTAGGCAATAATGGACTGAGTTCAGAGTCTTCTAAACATTAAGCAATCTGTTAAAGAGTCTTAGTGCTTTGCAACCAGACTTAGGTTTCAGATTACTAACTTAGGTGATGTTACATGAAAATAAAAGCACTATTTTGTTTAAAAAGTGTATTAAAATAGTTAATGTAAGAGAGCCATTTGCAATTGTAGCTAACACAGTATCTCTTTTTCAGAAGACAGTTTACTTAATAGTGATAAAGTATGGCTGGGGTGCCTCAGTGACAGAGTGCATGCACAAGACACCCTGGATTCTCGACCAGGGTAAGAGCGGAAGAGATGCAGAGGAGCTGAGTCCAATGTCTCAACTAACACCAGAGCATCTCACTAGTGTGTGGAGGTGGTTCCATTAAGGATGGCAGCTCATTCTAACCATTCTTAATCAGACTTTAGGTTACTTCCGTACAAGTAATTAACTGTTTTGTGCAAAAGATGTGTTAATTCTAAACATTAATCACAAAAACTCAAATTAAGAACACACTTCCAAAACAGGAGGTACAAATGAATTTAGATAAAAGCCAGATAGTTTTCTGTATTAGATCATGGGTAGTTGAATGTTCTTTCACGTATTGCTAAAAATCACAGTTTGTCTTGCAGTGGCTTAATATGGCACTAATATTCATTAGCATATGCTAATTTTGTCTAGGCTGTTCTCTGACTAGTTCTCTTGTATGTCATGTATAAGTAGATAACCTAGCTACAGTTCACTAAACTATAGTACTTCATTATGTAAATTTTGAAATGGACTCTACTATACATAGATATATTGGGAATTTATTACAAACATTATGTAATTTACTAATAGTTAAAACATTAGACTTTCATACACCTTTACTAATGCTTTGAAAATGACAAGTATTGGCAAATGTAGTTAGTAAGTCCTATAAACTTAGTGTGTTCTACTTGCTCGTATTAACCATGTAATTAACTAATGAGTGAGTATATGATTTAGTATCCACATCTGTTGCCTTCTGTTGCAGGTACCATGCTCGGAATTTATCTACAAATAAAAATTTTAGTATAATTTATGTTTAGCTGTTCTTAGATTCTATAATATTCTATAGCAGAACATGGGGAAAGATTAGAAGCTGTTTACTTGAAGTGTTTTATAACAGTATTGTGTCTGACTATATGAACCAATATTTAGCATTTACACTACCTTTGTGATGGTTTAACGTCAAGAAGTGACTTTTCTCACTTCTTCCATTATCTTTCTGCATTTTTTAAAACCAAAATTATTTTTTAAAAGCCATTTTGTTAAAACCAATAACATTTTTATCAGTTCTTTAGGTGTGGCAATATTACCCGCCAGTGATAATTTGGAACAAATTATTATTATTATTGTTATTGTTATTATTATTATTATTATTATTATTATTATATGTAGACAGGGTTTTACTTGCTTTGAACTAAGAATCCTTCTATCTTCGCCTCCCAAGTTCTGGGATTACAGGCATATGCTACTGTGTTTGGCTCAATGCTTAAAGTTCTTAAGTCATTGGTATTAGGTATTACTGATTTCATTATTGTATCTTTTACTTTCCTTTTGTCTACCCTAGAGTTCAGGTACTAATGAGTAGCAAATAGCCAAAATCTTGGACAAAGAAAATAGGGGACATTGGTAAGATAGAGAGAAGGCTGCATGGACATAAATAATCAGCATCTCTGCAGAAGAGTTGACTAAGACTGGGTCCCTGATAGCAGAGACTCCCCTTGCCAGCTCCTCATTCTAGCTAACACTGTGTTACTGTAAGAGCCCTTTGTTCTGGGGAGCATTTGGTTTGAGTTATTTAACCTCCTCTTATATGGCTCTTTCTCTTTAGCTGGCCATATGCTCTTGAGAGATTATTTTTAATTTTAGATAATTGTGTAGGATATATTAACCTGCATCATTTTTAGCATACACATGTTAAAATAACGTGGAAGTACAGATGTGTAATACAGAGGAGAAGTGATAGTTTGAGAAAACTGGAACCTATTTAAGAGTCTCTTATGGCAAAAGAAAAATGCTGAGAAAATTCACCAGTTTAGGTATGAATTTCAGCAGAGAAAATCACCAGTTAGGTATGAAGGCTAGTTTACACTTTAAAGATTGGGCTCTTTTGCTGATATTGGGACCCTGGAGGTCTTCCTTGCTGTTGACATTTTAATTCATTACCTCGTGTGTATACCGGTAGTGCTTTCTACACTTGCTCAACTGTTTAATTAATTACACATGTAACATTTTCATCTCAGTAGCTTTATATGTAAGTTTAGCCAGAGCAGCCAGAACAGGCACAGCTCCTTTTGTAGCTTTGCCTGTCTCTTCCACACAGTGTCTGGTTGCTTGTAGGCTGTCAGTCAGAGGGAAGACTTGTGCGTGTCCTGTGAGCTTTATGTCTGAGCCAGAGTGGGTGATGGTATTTAACGTACTGGTGCCTGAAACTCGTGTTTTACAACCTGAGCAACTGAAACATCCTGGTGCTATTCGCTTTAGCTTTGAGTTACATTCTTAATTCTTGAACCAAAGAGTTGATTTTCTTTTTGCTTGGCTGGGCTTAGTTTCTCATGTCTGAAGAAGTGAACAGTCATTTGTCAGGGCTTACTTTCTGTGAGTGCTGGCTGGCGCAGTCAGTTGAAAATGATTCTTATTTAGACTTAGCTTTTATTCTTTCATGCAGAGTGGTACGGATTTTAATTTTGTATTTTAATATAGTGTGGTTACTTTATAAGGTATTTTAATAGACTGAAGCTACTAAAGTTATTGAATCACTTTCTCCCTTGGCTTCACTTTGGCAGAGAAGAGAAGTTTTTATTTCTATAAGCAAAGTATTCTATTAGACACTTTTGATGACTACTCAACCGTATGCCAAAATACAGGACAAATAATGGGTCCATTATTAATTACAAGTCAAGAATTTAACATTTTTTTCTGTGTGTAGGTATAATCCTTAATGGCTTTAAAGAATGATACAGGTATTTTCCTATTTTGAAAATAAGATGAAATTAAAGGACACTTTAAAAAAATATAAATCACACACACACACACACACACGGAAATGCAGAAGTACCTTAAGTGAGCATCCTTTTAGAAGTTGAACTTTGCAACAAAAGCAGTCTGGACGCTGCTGCTTACTGTACAAGAAAATTAGAGTAAGATTGTTTTACAAATTATTTGTTTTAGTGATTTATTTTTCATAATTGGCAGAACCCAATCCTGTGGATGGGCTGTCCAGGTGTAATCCTGTTGCATGGGATTGATTGGCTTCCCTCTCCTCCCCAGGAGCTCTACAGACAGCCGTCAGTGTCTGCAGTGGCTGGTGCCTCAGGCCTGGGAGAGTAGACAGTCACACTGGAAATGCTGTGCTTGTCCATCAGCTTTAGTCTGCGGCTCCTTTAATCTTGATGCAGTGTGTGCTTTTTGCAGTTAATTCTGAATGAAAGACAAAATCAAGTCTAAAACTTGAGAAGTGAGGAGCTCATGTGCGTGAAGTGTGTCCAGATGAGCAGAGAGAGGAAGCAGGGACTGGGTGGGGGGCGGGGGCAGCACTGTGTCTCTTTTGAGTTGTGTTGCCACTGGATAGATTCTTAATAATCCCATTGCATGTCCATTGTTCATAAGGCAGAGTGTCGTAATTTTTTCCAAGTTGTAGATAGGAACAAATTTATCACTGCTTTCTGTGTCTTTGTGTGATTATTAAAAAGCAAAGAAAAAAATTAATATAGATAGGGAAAAAAGCAACTGAAGATACACAAGGAGGAACTTCCACCCCAGTCAGAGGTACTCAGATAAATGGTTGCAAGCCCAAGGACAGAATAAGCTCTCGGGAGAACAGTGCATGGACCACAGTAGATGAGCATGCGCTGTGCCTGGGCTTAGTCCACACAACACTAAAATTCGCTGTCAGCCCCAGTTCTCACAGATTCCTAAATGAAAGAGCCTTCTTGAGTTTTAGTAATGGTGTTGCTGCAGGGGCCCAGGAAGACCCTGTCTTCAGACATGCGGTGTGCTTTTCATTCAGCTCTGGTATGTGTTACCTGAGGGCCATTCGCCTGCCTCGTCTGCTGCTTTCTTTGTCTGTTGCCCTAAGTCTTCACTACCATTTCTGTTGCTGGTGGTAGTAAGGGAAGAGTGCGTGGAGAAGTCAGAGTGCTCTGAGGGCGGGAGGAAGCCACAGGTGGGAGCAGCAATGTGCTCATTTGTTAAGAGGAGAAGTCCACCCTGGCTCTTTGAATGAAAACCATCTATGTATGTATCTACCTTAAGAACAACATTGCTTTTAATTTATTTTAGTGATTTTGTTTTATTCATGTAATGTTCTATTTTCTTTGCAAATTGCTTTTAATTTAAATTGTGGAATTTTTACTTCTCTTGAAATGTACTATGTACTGTATTTTTAGAAATCTTATTTTTAAATAAATATTTTTGAAAAACATAGGAGTGTTGTAATCCCCATATCTCCTTATTTATTAAAGTCTACCCCAATTCCGGATTTTAGAACTACCATGTTTTAAGAATCCTCCTTCCCCAAATGTTGTGCCATTGGGTGAGTATTTAAAATTAGTGGTCTTGGGCTGTTCTTCTACCACAGATTCAGGAAAAGCTAGGCATACGTATTGGATTTAAAATTGTCAGTATTCCTAAGTAGGCATATTATTTTAGAGATCAGATTGCTCCATTCAGTAGCTGCCTAATGTATTTATTATTCTAGATGCTATTTTACAGGAATTCGTGCAGTGAAATGTGAAGTACAGTTTCATTTTGGGCACTGCCTTACATCTGAGGTTTGGAGTTACTGAAAGCTCAGGACATTACCGTATGCAGACTTAAAGGACTGTTACGGGCAAGCCTCAAGTTGCTGCTTGTTGTGAACACAGAGTCTCTTAGTGAGAATGAGCTGAGCACAGATGTGTCAGGGCCACACAGGTGACCTGCTAGGTCGCCCTGGGGATAGAGGAATGAATAACTTTTATCTTTTGAAATTCTTACTTTTTTTTCCTAACAGAAAAGCATTTTTGACAGATACTTTGTACTAACATTACTTGTAGATGAGACTGTAAATTTTGCTGTGTTTGGTGAATCAAACAAAGCACTCATTGCCTTCTGAGAAGTTCAGAGACTATTAGTCTTACTGGTTCCTTTCACATCACTTTTTTTTTTCTTATTCCAAATGACATTAGCTCAGTGGAGATACATTACAACAGTTTTCATGGTTTAGCCTTGGGCCTCCTTAATATTCATAAAAATTATTGCAGATTCTTTTCTTTTTTTCCTTCTTTCTTTCTTCCTTTCTTTTTCTTTCTTTCTTGTTTTTCGAGGCAGAGTTTCTCTGCATAACTTTGGTGCCTGTCATGGAACTAACTCTTGTAGGCCAGGCTGGCCTCAAACTCACAGAGATCTGCCTGCCTCTGCCTCCCAAGTGCTGGGATCAAAGGTGTGCACCACAGCCTGGCTCCAGATCCTGGTGTTTTTTACATGTTATCTTTATTGATGTTTTCTCTACCCCAACTTTAAAGGGACGGGCTAGGGAGATGGCTCCACAGTTAAGAGCGCTTGTTGTTCTTGAAAAGGAACTGAATTTGGTTCCCAGCAGTCATGTCAGGCCACTAATAACTGGGCACTCCATCTCCTGGAGATGTGGTAGCTGCCCTCTGCAGGTGTCTGCATATAACTATGCCTGCATATACGCAGAACAGACATACAAAGAATGACATGTATAAGACAGAAAGTTAGGTGAGTATGTATTTAAACCTGAACTCACCATGAATAAACAATTTTAATTAGTATTTTTGTGAAGCATAGCTGCCTTCATAGAAGAAAGTTAGTTTTACACCGCTTTATGATTTAATCAGTTACATTGTTACTTTGTAGTCTGAAGAGACTTAGTCTTTTGCAGAGAATGCAGTTAGAAAAGGAAGGGGTATTTTACCAGCCTCTTGAAGTAACTGAGTATTCTTTTGTATGATACAAAAACGCAAGTGTGTCCCAGTATGGTGGCTGTCGTCAAGAATACAGATGACAGCTAATGCTGATGGGGATGTGGGCAGG